TATATATATATATATATATATATATATATATATATATATATATATATATATATATATATATATCTTTTGTTGTCTTCAGGGCTTCCTGCTTTCCGCCCAGGAGAGAAAGTAGACCTCTCAGCAGAGGGACGTGCTGGCGCTGCTGCTGCTGTTGCTGCTGCTGCTGCTGCTGCTGCTGCTGATACACCTGCAGACGCTGGAGCTGTAGGCATTACTGTGACGAAGGACACTAACAAAGTTGTTCTTTCTTCTCTTGATGACGACCTCTGACGGTGCTGCATGCCGGCGTGCACCAGCAGCTGTCCATACACCCGGAGGAGTAGTTGCCTTTATGAATTCCTCTTGGGCTCTTGATGCCTCAGTTTTCTGTTTCATTAGAAGAGTTGCTGTTGCGGCTGCTGCTGTCTCAGCTGTACGTACAGCGGCAGCTGCTTATTTCTTTTGTTGTCGTTCTGCTATTTTAAATTCAAATGCAGAAACACCTAGAAACATTCCCCCATGTTATTGAATTTGTTCATTTGACCCTCTCGTCCAATAAACGCACAGGACTGGCGACACCTCCGATCCCGCTGTAGCCGCTGTTTATAGACGCAACGAGCAGCAACTGCAGCCGCTGGTGCTGCTGCTGGTGCTGCTGCTAGTGCTGCTGCTAGTGCTGCTGCTACTGCTGCTACTGCAGTTTTCTCGTGATGCTGAGGGTAGGCTACTCCGGGACAGCTTGCGCTAGACCGTACTGCTAGAGGGGGAAGCCAAACAGGCTTAGCTAGTCGCCAAGGTAGCTGAATATATTAGATGTAGAAGAAAAAAAAAATATATATATATGTATATGTATATATGTATATATATATACGCATGCAGAGAGAGTCGTGGGTCGCTCCTCTTGGCGTGTCGCAGAGGCGACATCGCGCGAATTCGTTTTGACGCTGATTTGTTGTTTGCCGTTTTGTTTGTTTTAGTGTTTGGTGCTTAGCGTTGTTTGCTTGTCTGTATCTTAGTTCGAGCGTTAGTTTTGTGTTAGTGTTTGGCGTTTATCACTCGTTTTAGTTTAAGATAAAAAGAGAGATGGATGCGGCGGGTTTCACCTCTGCGCCCGTTGGCGTCAAGATCTCATCGTCAGGGAATTGAGAGCAGATGAAGAAATATTTCTTAGATTTTTTCCTTGAAACAACAGATGTAAATACAGCAAAAGCAGTTTCATATTTTGCCGTTGAAGCAACACCTTTGGTACAGCAGAGACGGGCTCAAGGCAGCTGTCGGTCGGCGTTTATTTTGCCTTTTTTTACTATGAGATGCGTTTCGAACATGAATTGACGCATGAATAAATTGAAATATAAATAAATTGAAACATAAATAAATTGAAACTTGAAACAATAACTGAACGGAAAGAAGAAATTATTTGAACCATGAGTAAACTGAAGCGTGGAGAAACTGAAACATAAATAAATTGAACGATGAAACGAACTGAAACATGAATTAGGTGATGCATGAAGCGAATTGGTACATGACACAAACTGAAACATTAATAGATGAACAAAACGGAAACATGAGTAGATGATCAAAGCTGAAACATGAATAGATGAACAAAACTGAAACATGAATAGATGATCAAAGCTGAAACATGAATAGATAAACAAAACTGAAACATGAATAGATGATCAAGACTGAAACATGAACAGAAACTGAAACATGAATAGGTTGAAAGCTGAAATTCATTGAAAGATGAACTAAGTGAAACACGAGGAAATTGAAACATGAAGGAATCGAAACTCGGATAAACTGAAGTGTGGAATGGATTGAAAGGTGAAACGAATTGAAATAGAAAATATATTGAAAGATGAAATAATTTGAAAGTTGAAATGTAGGCGTACCGTCGCCTCTCGCCGCCTTACATATGCAGTGCAGCGTGTTTTCAGCGCGTTATTGTATTAAATGAATAAATAATAAAAATATTTTTATTACTATAAGAATAAAGAAAACCAATTCTGTGGAGTGTGAAACACCGCCTTCTTTTCAGCAGAATTTGCTTAGTGGAGGTGCATTAAATGAATGAACAAATTGATGCAGTGAACGCACATATTATTTTAATAATTAAACAAAACGCAATTTCTTGCATTTTGTGACTTCTTTTTGCTTAGCAGCATTTGCTGGGAGGAGGTGCCTCCATAGTATATATTTAAATTAATTAATTGAACAAACATTGTTCTATTAAGCGAACGAAATGCATTGTGCATCCCCTTCCTCTTTTGGTGTTAGCAGCTTTCGCTGACAGGAAGGGCTTCTAATACAGATTTGAGTGTATTGATTGAACACTTTATTTGTTTCAATTAAACTAAACACAATTTTTTGCATTTTGCAACCTTCTCAGTTTCGGCTTAACAGCATTTGTTGAGAGGAGGGGCTTCTAGTACATATCCTTGATCTTTAAGGTATTGATGAACCTGGCAAACTTTGTCTTTAATATCTGAACTCGAATCAATTGTCAACTCGGGGTGCTGAGGGGCCTCATAGGGATCCGAGACGCCAGTGAATTGCTTAATGATGCCTTGTCGGGCTTTCTTGTACAAATGCTTAATGTCGCGCTCCTCGCACACCGATAAAGGAGTGCACACGTACACCTCAACGTACACACCTAAACAAGAAAAAGAAAAGGAATTCAAATACGGCACAGGCTAGACTGCCAAGGCACACTTACAGACAAATTTAAACGACCGAACGAACAAACAAACGAACAAGCAAACAAAGCTAAATAAACAAGCAAACAAACGAGGACCCAACCAACCAACCAAAGTAATCAAACAACCAAAGAAACCACCGCTGAGCTAAACACGCACAGTGACAGCATAGAAGAAGTGTTCTGGTTTATGAAATCCACTAAATTATTACAGCTACAACGAACCTCCTTCTTGTTCAATGAGTTTACGGTTGAATTCTCTGTCACAAGTGTACGGCGCGATATTTGCCACAATGCAGATACCCCCGTGTTTTGTTATTTCGCTGGCGATGTACCCAATGCGACGCACATTTGTGCTGCACACAGAAGCAGAACCACAACGAAGGGAAACACTTGATAGCGGCTCTAAAAGGAAAAGAAACAGAGGGTTTTGTTAGTGGCTTGAAACTAAAGCAAAACAAAGAAAGAAACGAGAAAAATAGTGCATTCTGAAATGCTTTCCCAAACCCTAAACCCTAAACCCTAAACCCTAAGCCATTGGACTTTCCTGCGGTCCTCCCGACTGAACCCGAGNAAACCCTAAACCCTAAACCCTAAACCCTAAGCCATTGGACTTTCCTGCGGTCCTCCCGACTGAACCCGAGGCCTTTGGAGAGGTGCTGGCGGACGACATCAGCATCAAGGAGAGTTATTTTGCGTCTCTCGTTGCGGTTCTCAAGGATAGCAGCCTCCAAAGCATTCGCGAGAGTGCTCTTCCCTGGAAACATTACACAGGAAACAGGTTGCTGCTGCTGCTGTTGCTGTCGCTGCTGCTGCTGCTTCTGCTGCCTTGTGCGTCTTTACACAGAGGAGGCGCAGCTGCTGAGCTGCTTCTGGTTCTGCGTGGATGAACGACAGCGTTGGGAGTATGCAGCAGCCAGCAGATGCAGCAAGAAGAAAGGGAGAGCCCCCACCAATGATACACCTGCTGCTGCTGCTACAGCTGCAGCAGTTGTATCATTGGTGGGGTTTCTCCGTTCCTTCCTGCTACAGCTGCTGGCTGCTGGGCCCTCATATTTGCCGCTGCTGCTGCAGCAACAGCAGTTGCTGCTTACCTGAGCAGGGCAGCCCAGTAAAGTATACGCAGAGTCCGCGTTCATGGTTTTGTTTATAGAACTGCTGCAGTTCAACAATGACACTTGGGAATGAAAACCACTCGGGTATTGGCATTCTTGTTGTGAGTCGTTTTCTGAATTCTGTGCCTGAGATGGAGTTGACTTCAACATTTGGGTTTTGCTTTTTCACATCTTCAAGCCGTCCTGCTGGGATATATCCACCAAATTCTTCGCCTACGTACAACATCTCCTCTCCAAATATCGGCGTAATTCCCAGCTTATCCGCAACAGAACCCAAAAGCTTGTGGGCGTCATAGGGGCCGTAGAAAGGAGTACTGACAAAGCAACCAACGCTCACACAGATATTACACGTTTTCTTCCCCTGCATTCTTTTTTTTTGTGCATTCTTCACACTTTAAATGTGATGCGAACAACCAGGCGAAACGCGGACAGAAGAAGGTGCAAGCAGGGGTTGAAGCAGCAGCACCAGCAGCAGCGATGGCAGCAGCAGCAGCAACAGCAGCTAACCAGATCCCCAGAAACCCACCCGTCTTGCTTGCGGGTCGAGGGTCCCGCGTGGTCTCTGCCTACGATGAAGTGTGTGCATCCGTAGTTCTTTCGA